CTTTCATTTTAGCTTTCCTGCTCAAACTGACCGCTTCCCGCCATCGTCTTTGTCCTCCACCTGGACTTATCATGGACGCCCAATGGCAGCAGTACTACTGGAACCACTACCTGCTCCACCAGCAGCAGCAGCAACAGCTCGCATCGGGCGCTGAAGCTCCCCAGTATACTCCTACTGCCACTTATGGACCTATGAGCCATTCGATCCGCGCGCACCAACAGCATCAGTCGCACCCTTACACACCACCGCCTTCGACATCGCCGCCATCCCACACACCACCAACAGGCACCAGTCCTTCTTTCCCGCCACCGCCACCACCACCACCACCACCACCACCGCTCCCTACAGCCTCTCCTGCAACGCCCACTCAGACATCTTTCAAACACAGCCCCAGCCATTCGGCTCCACCCGCACCACCACCCACAGTTCCATTTCCAACCCCAACCATTCAAGAATCCTGGCGCTCCACGGATTCCTGTTGGGATTCAAATGCCCTTCATGGGCATCAGCTCCACCGCCGCATCCAATCAACACAGTGGTCCCGACGCGTCGGGATCGCAGGCTTGCCGACTTTTGAGGTGTTCCCGTGGCTTCTGGCGTACCACGGGACGGCGGACTTTACAGCCAGGACGCTCAGTCACGGCAAGTTTTGCGGGCTCATTCCTACGAGGAGTGTCGCCGAGTCAGTTTTCACCACACATCTCCTTCAGGAGATTCGCGATAAGCGTCTGGACTTAGACGCTATCGTCGAAGCCATGCACACAAAGGCCGGCGCCACCATTCCCAACAAAACAACACAAGAGCGGGCATTCCACTCTCCCCTCATCACACTTTTAACCGACCAACTGCAAGCCCACTCTCCAGCGGTTGCTGAAGGCTCAGCCATCCGAGCGCTCAGAGCCACCTCCGATGATCTTGCCCGCGCCCGGGAGAAACTCCAGGCACATGGACTGGAACTTACCCCCAAGAAAGACACTGGCCGCCCCAGTGCTCCCTCTGCTCCAGCAGCCCCTCCCGCACCTCACCAACCACCAGCACTCCCAGACGTGCTTCAACCGTCCTACCCCACCCTCAAGGACGACGCCCCAGAAGCATGGACCGCACCCTCCATCCAACAATGGATGCGGACCTTCGAACCCAAAGTCCAAGAGGCAGCCCAGGAAATCTTGCGTTTGCTTCAGACTAGCAAGGTTTCCACTGACCAGCTTAACCTGGAGTCTCCTTTCGGCTGCAAAACCCGCTGATAGCTGATAGGGGGTTTTGGCGCTGGAATGGTCATTTCGTAGGCAAATTCTGATTTCGGCTGACAAGCCCTTGGGTTCTTGTAGTGTTCCAATAAGTCAGTTTGTTCACATCAAAGTTTGAGGCTTGGGAGTGGGAATTGGGAACTTTTGTGCTGTGGGAAGATTTCGTGGCCGGCGCAGATTAACATCATCAATTGCGTCGTGCTTTGCTTGTATAGGGGCATGATTGTGTAAAAACTCAACCTGCGCATGTCCCATGTTCAAATACATGTTAGCTTCACATGTCCACATACATGTTAGCTTCACATGTCCACATACATGCGAGTTCGGTGCGTTTTTCTGCAGCTGTTTTCTGCCCGGCAGCTGTTGAAGCCGGGTAGCCGGGCCGTTTTGGCCTGGTGATTTCGGTCAGGTCCTGAGCTATGAACTTTGCGCAGTCAGTGTTCTCCGTTGCTGCGACTGGCGACTGGTGTTTCGGTGTTCTTTTGGCTCAAGTTCCTCTCTTGCCCATGGTTTGAGGCAGACTGGTCTGCCTTTGTGATTTGTTTGAGGGGAAATGGTTGCAGTGAAGATTTGTGCAGGTATATGTGATGGCAAAAGCAAAGACTTCCAAACGGAAAGATTTGCAGGAAGACATTAATTGCTACTGCTGTGTGTTTCTTTTATTGCGGTATTTTTGTAAATCGGTTGTGGTGCAGGAGCTCGATTCAGATGATACTGAGTGGACAGTGCCACCTATGCCTGTCAGCCGGCCTCGGCCAAGCACAGTGCCTGAAGAAGAATCAGCTGCTGATGTGATTGATGATGTGCCACCCATGCCGGTCAGCAGACCCAACCCGGCCACTAGTTCAAGCAATGATCGGCCAGAGCAGGAAGGGAAGGCAGATGTCGAAGAGAGCCTTGACAATGGCACTGCAGAGCCAAGTGACTTGAGTGACGAAAATGAGAGAGAGACTTTTCGTCCTGAGTTTTGGGACCCTATCAGGGCCACCTTTGCGAAGAAGCAGCGCGCCCTGGCTCGCCAGCAGGCGAATCAGTCTCATTAAAAAACATGCAATTTTTTTCCTGGACAGGCCCATTTGGAAAGAGCGGAAACGGAACGTCGACCAAAAAAGATGCCCAAGCCTGTGGTGAAGAAAAAAACCTCAAGCTCCAAGACCCCCACCTGTGATTCCAGTGAGGTGGGGGCTCAGCCTTTTGCAAAGCCTTGTGTTGGAATGTAGCCCTGGCAGGCACATGGATGGATCAGTGCAGATGATTTGCCGACCACCGCCCCCGAGAAGAAGGCTTGAACATATGGCCAAGTGTTCTGGGTGTAGATTTAGGTAATGGGTCTGGAAATGACTTGTGTGTGAGGCCTTCTGATGAGGCCCACTGAGGGAAAAGAGCCAGTCTCACGAGGAAAAACCGTGTGCTTGCTATTCTGGCAGCCATGCGTTGAAGTTTCAATTTTGGCTAGGTAGGCTCTTAATTTGCTTCTTAGGTCTCTACATGTGGCGTAGAGGTGGGTTCCCTTTCTGCCATGCACTGCTCTTGTCTCTTTTTGCTTTCCAAGGTGATTTCGGAGCGCTATGAATGGTCGGGGCCTCAGCATGCATGCGACCCATGAACAAACAACACATGAAAGAACTACCATGAACATGTGACACATGTGAAATGTGTTAATGGAATCATGTGTTCATGAAGTCATGTTATCATGAAACCATGGTACCTAAATCATGTTATCATGAAAACATGTTAGCATGAAGTCACGTTACCATGAAAACATGTTACCATGAAATCACATTACAATGAAATCATTTAACCATGAGACCATGTTACTGTGAAAACATGTGTCATGAGTCATGAAACCACCAACCCTGTGTTCACTTAAGACTCATGAAAACAAACTCCATTTAGCTACTTGGCCAGATGTTGATTCTGCAGGTTCGGAACCGCAGCTGGCGCTGGACATCGGGTGCCCTTGCGACTTGTGTTTGTGATCAGAAGCGCTTGACTCGTAACTTTATGTTTTGGCGCGCCTGCAGCTGTTTGAAGGGGTTCATTTAAACAGCGTTAGGGGTGCATTGCCAAAGTTGCTAAAGCAGCTGTCTGAAGATCCAGACTTGGTGTCACACTATGCCTCAGCTTTTGCTGCAGAGAATCGCCTCAAAGAGGCCTGCTACCTACATTGAATGTTTTTGATTTGCACCTGTGCTTTTTGTTTTTGGTGAGATCGGCAGGTGGGCTTCAGCTTTATACAGGCCCATTCAGAAGGCCTGTTTGGCAAGAAGGACGCTACCAGGAAAGATGTGGAGTTAAACGGTGAGGCTGGTTTGTTCCTGAAGAAAAATTGTGTATTGGCGTTGTTTGTGTCTTAATGTACCAGACTCTTTTCCTGGCCAGGTGGTCTATGCCATCATGAAGACTACTCCATGGGCCAGATTGTCTGAGACAGTGTTGCAAGAGAGCATTACCAAGTTCTACACGGACAACCGATTAGTCCCAGTTGGCATTGCTGCCTCGGCCTTGGAGCAGTGGAGCGCCAAGATGAGCTGCGCAGCCAGAAAACTGGTTCAAAAGTTTAGAAGAATCTTTGCAGAAACGCCCCATGGGTCCAAGAGTGATGTGATCCAGTCTTTGAAGTCGCGATGTCTTGCGGCTGGTGTTGAGCCCCCTGCAAGGCAAGCAAGGAAAAGCAAAAGCGACGTGACCCTGGAGGATGTGGAGGAGGAAAGGGAAGACAAGAAAGAACCTGCCCAGGTTCAACGTGAGGTGACCCATGAAGATCTGGAAGAACTCGTGACACCCCAGGTCTTTGATTGGAAGGCCTTTGCAGCCAGATTCATGGAACAGAGGAATCAAAAAGTAGAAGGAAAGGTGGATGACAAGAAGATTTCGCTGATGGAGAAAGTGGCAAGGCCTGTCGCTACTCCAGCGCGTGCTCACGAGTTGCCAACCTTTGTGGTGGAAAGCATGTCCCAGCAGCTTACGCCGGTTGCTCCGTTTGTGGCTCCTGGTGTTGAAGAAGACTTGAATGGAGAAGGAGATGAGGACTCAAAAAAGCCTGCAGCGTCACAAAAGAAGAAAAACAAGAAAGCTCCCAAAAAGGCTGCCAAGAAGGCTGCCAAACAACCACTAGCTGGTCCTGAGGTGGAGGAAGCGCTTGCTGTTGTGCAGGAACCAGGCTTTAAACCTGGCTCTGCAGAGGTTGTGGCTGGTGGACCTGGCTATAAGGCTGGCAGCTTCAATGAGAGAAGAAAAGCTTTCATTGCCGAGCGCAGGAAGGTTGCTGGAATCTCCTACAAAGAAGCCAACACTGAGTGGATGTTGAGTGATGAACGGGCTGAACTCTTGCAGGGCTTGCCTCCAGCAGTCCTGAAACGCCGTCGGTTCGCGTGATCGACTTGCATTTGCGCTTGGGGGTTGAAAATTGCCGGAGCATTTTGTTAAGAATTCGCGTGTGGATGAAAGGAAATTTCACAAGTTGTGGCTTTTAATTTGAAGTAGCCTTTAAAGGCAGGCTCAAGCAGTGTGGAAGTGTCATATATAAAGGGTGGTCATGAATATGATTGCCCAAATGCTCATGTGGAAGTGCCCGGAGATGTTGATTCTCATGGTCATGCATGTGGTGTTTGTCAAAGACCTGAAAGCAAATAAAGCTTGGGCCTCACTGTTGACCAATGATGTAAACTTCTCAAGTTTTTGGTGAGTGAGGTCTATGACTTTGTGGAGTTCTACAGTGGACAGGGTGCCGTACACGCTGCTCTTCGCTCTGCTCTGGCCTTGTAGCTTGATGTTGTGAAAGCAACGAGACAACAACACACCCGAGGCTAAATTTTGTGGGCCTGCATTAGACCGGGACCATGACAAGGGCAATCGCACCTTTGATTTCCTTTCTCCACCTGGATTTGCGTCAGGCACCTAATTGGTCTGCAAATTTTCCAATAGATCACCTGATTCTTTGATGCTGCCAGGCTTTGCCTTAGCTGTATCCTCAGATCGAAGAAGTTGGCCCTACATGTGCTGGCGATGCGCTGTTCTTCATTTTGTGCTCCGAAGCTTGGTGAAATGCTGCTCACATGGTTTTGCTTCTGTAAACTCAGAGGAAGATGCAAATAGTCTCAGGAATCTGGGAACGCATCAGCGCTCGGTGCTCTTTCCTCAGGGCAATGAAGGGTATCCATCAGTGCAGATTGGTAACCGATTGGCCTCAAGAACAAGCCTTCTGATGTACTTCAGCTGCGCGCATGAAGGTAGGCCAGTGCTGGAACAGCCCCGCAACTCCAAAGCGCCGCTACACCCCCGCCTTGAGCAGGTGCTGGAAGAGTTGCCGTTTTATGAGACTTCCATTTGGGGAGGGAAGTATGCCGACAACCCGCAAACGTCGACGCCAAAGAGACATTCACTCTTCAGCGTTGACAAGTGCCTGCTGCAGAAGCTAAGTGATTACGCTGGCACCATGACTGCTGAAGAACTTCAAGCTTTTGAGACCACCCTTGTCAAGCGCAGACGCAAGGACGATGGCTCTTACTCTTGGAGTGGCAATGAGAACATGAAGCAAAGCCAGTTCTCTGGCAAAATCTAATCACTGTGTGAGCGCAAGGGTTGTTTAAGTTTAGAGTGAGTTAGGTTTGAGATGCTGAGGGCCTATCATCGTCGCTTTGGGGAGCACCTGGCCAACATGCAAGCTGAAATTGATTCTGGCTCTTGGCCTGCTTGATACTCAGGCATTTTTTGAATGAACATTCTACATTCTAGTCTCGCATCTGCTGCTGGTCAGGAGCTACCTCCAGCACCCTTGGCAGACCAGGTTGAGGAATACATGAAGCAATCAGAGTTGCAATTGTTTCAGGTGGGGATTGTGCATGTGTGCTGTGTGTGTTTTGGGGTTCCCGGTTTTCTGCAGGCCATTGATTGGGGCACTGTAGACCTGTGGGCAGATGCTGCAGCCTGAGGTTGCTGTGTTTCCTTCATCGCACTTACAGTCAACTTCATTGTGATATGAGGCTGATCTTGTGGATGTGATGACTTACCTACGTAAGTCGCGGTCCTTCCAACCTGGAGCGGAATGGGGTCCAGCGCTAGATGCTGCGTACAGTAAAGTCTGTGGGCGGTTGAACCGCTGATGCACATGTGATGGTGACAGGAAAATGGTGATAGCAATTGCTTCTTATGGCATCAGGTGTTTTACCGCTGATTCCCGGCTGTTCCCGCCGATTCCCGGGTGTTTGCCGGCGAGATCCCGCTTCTCCTTCACACCCCTGGACCCGGGAATTTGCCGGGATTTCGGCGGCAGGTACCCGGGAATCGGCGGCAAGTACCCGGTAAATTTCCCTGCTCCTGGACACGTAGGTCTGGTCATTGCTTGCAAAGCTTGTTTGGTCTCAAGTGGTCAGCTTGTGTGAGTGAGTGTTGACATGGCTGACATGTCTGATGATATGTTGATGGTGGCCTTTGCAGAGCTACGTGAGCAGAATGGTGGGAGACGCCCTTCTGTGAAGCAGCTGGAGGAGCTCACTGGGTTGCCCACCAAAGAGGTGAAGACACTTCTTGCGGAGCTTTTGGAAGCTGAGGCGGAGAACCCCAAACCAAAGAAGAAGCAAAAGACAGCTCAAGTGCCCCCTCCTCCTGCTGCTGAAGAGCTGCCTACTGAGTTGCCTGCTTCAGCAAGTGCTGCAGAAGCTGAGAAACCTCCAGTGGCTCCTCTGACTCCTGTGCCTGCAGCACAGAAATGTGGTGATCTGTCCCGTGCTGCGACGCAGCCGTATATGGAGACGCCTGTGGAACCGACTCAGGTTGTGTCCCCGGAGCCACCTGCCATGTTGAGGCGGAAGTCTTCGCAATTGTCTGGAGCTCAGATGTAGTTATTGTGAGATAGTAGCTTGAAACGCGTTCAGTTTCAAGTTTGTCAGGTCCTTGCAAACGCTGATGCATGGGCAGGAAATGCTTCGTGGTAGCTCTGTTCCGCTGGTGGAGGTAGATTCAAGCTTCGAGGAGGGACTGGTGGGTGAGCATGACATTTCATGAAATCAATTATACATGTTCTGTTTTACATGGCATCATGTTGTATGTTCATGTTCATGTGTTGTGTGTTCATGTTTCAGTATTCATGGACATGTTTACATGCAAACATGACATGTACATGAAAACCTGGTACATGAAAACATGGTACATGAAAACATGTTACATGTATACATGGTCCATGTATGCATGGTGCATCTGCCCATTGTTGACTTGCCAGGTGCCGGAGGAGTGGCCTGACCGCCAGCCGGACACTCCGACTCCAAGCCAAGCTGAGTTGGAGCTTCTCAGAGCGAAGACTCTGGCGCTGCCTGGCTTGGAGCTCGCGGAAGCAGGAGCTGATAAGGAGGAAAAGCCTGCTCAGCCCACTGCGCTGGAATCACCAGCGCCAGCAGAACCAGCGTCGCAGCAACACCCAGTCAGGATGGATGCGGCTGTTTACACGTCGACAAACTACTCCAAGGAATGGAAATTCCTGAGCCGTGTTTCCTCAGGACCAAAGGCTCAAGAGTTCCCAGAAATTGCCAAGGCTTTTGGCTCTGGCACCAAGCAGCAGCAGCGTGAAGTCCTCCAGAAGTTTATCGAGAATGGCCATAGCCTGGAGTCTGTCGAGGCTTCATTTGTCGCCACACGTGAATTAAGTGAAGTTGGGCACAAGAAGCGAAAGCTTCTTACTCTGAAGCAGATGACGGACATGGGATTCAGCAAGATCCATGTCTTTGCTTATTAATGTTTCCTTTGAATGATGTGTGTGTGTGACGTGTCATCGTCCTTTGCATTTTTCTGTTTGGGGCCACTAGGGCGTCAATCTGAGGCCGAAGATCATGGGATGTGTAGCTCGAGGGGGGGTTCCAGATGACGATGCGCCACTTGACCCTGAGTCCATGAGATATTGGGCAACAGTTGATGTGGAGAAGGATGACTACGACTCGCAAACTCTCCGCTCTTCTGTTCAAGGTGCTGTGCGCCCAGAGGATGCAATGCAAGTCATTCAGCAAGGTGTGAAGATTCCTACTGCAAGCCAGCCAGTTGCAGACCCAGCGCAGTTGGTGAACCAACACATGGCGAGTGCTATGAGCCAGCTTTCTATTCCTGATCCTGCCTCTGTGACCACGCCTGCTCCAAAGCGTGTCTTGGTCACTGAAACATGCATGACAGTGTTGCGCAACCTATGCTTTTGCTGGGGCCTGCTTGATCAGGTGCTAGTGTCAAGGCCAAGCCAAAAGCTGCCCCCAAGAATGCAGCTGGACCACTTTCTGCAGTGACACTTGCGGGGAAAACGCTGGCCGAGAAGGGTGCCTTGGCCCGCTCGGCTCTTAGATAAAATTGCAAACCAATTGGATTGAAAATGGCTTTGCAATTCCCAGGCAATGAAGTGAAGAAGGAGCTGAATGCTCTGAGTTCCCTGGTGCTGGACCTGAGCACAAATGATCGGTTTGAATCGGGGTGCAATGACTTGAACCGCTTCCATGGTCAGCTGAAGGCTTTGTTCACGAGGCCATTTTGCAGATATTGAACTGAAATATGTCCGCCTGTCAGCGATGGCCAGGCTTGAGGTAGAGAACAAGGATGAAGTCTCCTTCAATGTACTGAAGGATGAGATCACCAAGCTGGCTGCAACCTCAAGTTGTTTCCAATGTTACATTTGTTTTACAAAGAGCCCTTAGGTTGCAGATTGTCGTTTCAAACGCGCGGAGCTCTCGGCTGTTCTCAAAGAACTGAAGAAGTGGCGCTGGCATTTCTTCCACTGCAACACAACTATCTGGTAGTAGTTGATTCTTGTTTTGCCAGGGGGTATGCTCGGCAGTGATTGGCTGATGGGACCGCTGAGATTTTGCCTGATGAGCGTTGGAAGTGAACGCTATAGACCATATAGATAGTAGAGCGTACGCACATGTCTAGACAGACGGTGCTGCTGTTGGTGAATCTGAAGGGGATTCCGGTTGCAGCTCACCACCGTTCTGGCCAACATGGTTGCAAAAATGCACAGATGTGTAGCCATGCATGTCCTCTTCTCTTTGGGTGTTCTTCAGTCTTGTGTGTGAGAGGCCGTTTGACTTTGCAAATACTTTTTTGGTGAGGTACTGGTGCCTCAGCGTCTGGAGCAGGATCGCTGAGACGAACATTGGATGAGAGGTCTGGCATTGGTACAAGCAAGATACACTGTTAGACCTTTTGTGTTCACTGTTTGTGAGGATTGCAGGAGAAGTTGGACTAGGCCGTTGTACAATAGCTGCAGCAAATCGGATTGCTCAACTCTATCAGTCTGCAGTTTTTGGGCAACTTTGATGTAAATGGGTGGCTGTGAGGATTGTTTGATGCATTAAACATTTGTCTTTTGCTTTAATATTGCCTGATTGAGGCACCGAGCAGATGAC